TTTAGTACTGTAAACAGGAAATATATTGGTCATCGTTATCTGGTGCAGTACTTTAATTGGAAAGGTCTCAGACCAACCGAACTAGCTATTTGTACTACTTGGCACACAAACACATAATCACTATTTGCCAAATTTGAGTATAAAATCCAAGAAATACGGGAGTTACGGGAATTATGGGAAAACACGAATTGCGGGGGAGTGGGGGGGTGCATCTGAAAAAAAACACAAACTCGTCCTTTCTCGGACTTAGGAGAATCTGGATACCGAGTTTGGTTATTCTTGCTCTTGTACTTGCTGAGATCCTTACGTTCATACAGACGGACGGACGGACGGACGGACGGACAGACGGACATGGCTATATCGACTCGCCTTGTCATCCTGATGAAGAATGTATATACTTTGTGGGGTCTGCCACGCCTCCTTCTGTGTGTTCCATGCACACTCGCACAAAACTAATATACCCTTTTACCCTCTGGGTACAGTATTGGATGGCCGGTCGAAAGGCAAGACAATAATGGCCAGAAATGTTCAAGAAAAACCGCAAACAGAAGTACACGAGATAGCAGTATTGGTAGACACTTAAAAAAGACAATGAGATGAGAAATATGAGTGCCGTGTTTGCTCACACTGGAGAGCACAGACTGACAGCGTCGTGAGGATGTTTCAATCAAGTGTTGGCAATGTTTTAATCTTTTAGTGTATACATTTTTTAATAGCACGAGACAAATTCTAATTGAATTAGAAGCGAGCAAGTCGCGAAATCGAAACCAGAGCAGCAGCAAAACGAGTGTGTGGAGAGAGAGAGAGAGTGTGAGAGAGGGGGGAGGAGGGCGGCAACAGCATTTGTCATGCTCTTAATTTTATAAGCAACTGACACGCTCACGGAGCCAGAAGCCGCCATCTGCTTGCCAGCCCCCCTGCCAAGCTAATTCAATCAACTTACCGCTCAGAAGGGCTTGTCTGGCTGCCCACGCTGCCAGACAAAAGCGGCCAGGAAAGGAAAAAACAAAAACAAAAACAAAAAAAAAAACACAAAAAGCCAGACAGACGGACAGACGGATGAGCGACAACCAAATATTCAACAATTAAGCAAAGTTGCCAAGCAGCAACTTGTTGTTGTTGTTGTTGGTGGCATTTGCACAACTTGTTGTTGTTGTTGTTGTTGGGTACTGCTGCTGCTCCTCTTCCGCCCTAAGCTCAAGTGTCTTGTTTGCTTGGTTAAACTTTTTTGTTGATACATGTACGAGTATACTTGTATATGTATGTGTTTAGCCTTTAATTGCCTGAATTGGTTTTTCTTGCACGCTTCGCTTTGTTTTGACAAATGCCAACCAGCCAACCAGCCAGCCAGCTAGCAGTCGATTCGATTCAATCATTGATGCACACCCGAACAATCAGGCATTCAAACTACATTTCTACAATTCAATTAATTGTCTGCCTGCAGCAAGCGGCAAAGCAGCATTTTTCTCGAACGGCCCAATTAATGATTTCTGTCAAGTCAAGTGCAAAGAATTGGCAATAAAATGGCGCTGCTCGAAAAGCAAATGTTTGCATTCGCTTTTTGCTTCCCAAGTCGAAGCACGTGCTGCCATGCAAGTGAGGAAAGAGTACACACATCTAAGTATACCCTTTTAGTTTACTTACTTGTAGTTGGTGGCTGACTGATTCAGCCATGAGAGCTAACTTTGATGTTGCTAGGCATCTGTCATTGATTCGCTGGCCCATATACTACATACATACTATATAGTACTATACTGGCTACTTATTCATGTTTGATTGTTTTGAAATGCTGTGGGCGGGCGAGAAAACCTCAGATTACACGGAAAAGCCCGCTTGAATGGTTTATTTATTCCTTCATACCATAATACACGAGATTAGTTTTTAAGGTACTTATAGTAAACTATTCATGGGTTTTTGATTTAATTTTTCCCCCGCATTTGTTACATATTAGAAACTGACCGTTCACTCATAAACTGTAAAAACACACTTTATATATAATTAAGTTGATAAGGTTTTATAACCTACACTCTTTATTATTAACTAATTATAGATGCACACCAATTTGTGAGACAATTTTTGTGAATAAATGAAATGCAATGAAATAATACAAGAGATACGGGATAGGAACAGTTTTTTCTGGTAAACACAGTTGGAAAAACTATCACTCTGCCATTTTATAAATATGTTTTATGCATTTAAGTAAAAGAGAAGAAATTTAAGAATGTCTGCATTTCATCATCTCAATACTTACTCCTTGTCTCTTTCTGCAAGTAGAGCTGTTCGGGGCATAGCCGGACTGGTAATCTAATTTATCCACCGGTTTGGAGATTTTCCTTTCTCCTCTTAATTAATCTAATTAGCTCTTAGTTAGAAATAGGTATTCTCGTTTTCTTAATATTCTTTTGACTATATATAATGTCTCTAAAAACATTCAGGCCATAGCTGGCGAAGGGACAAATAAAATTCCCCTATCGTCGTTAATAGACATTTTTGTACATTTATTTTAAAGGCTTTTTTATCTTTTAAGTCAAAATTATAACAAATTTTTAATCAATATAATTTATTGTAATCTGTATCGGCAGCCCATAGATAAAGAAAAACAGATAAAATAAAATAAAATTGGTTTTATAGTTGTTCTACTTATATTTTCCTTTTCTTAGCCCTCACTTTAGTAATTTTTTAGCTAATCATAGTATTAGAGTTTTCAATTCTTACACCTTACTGAGTCCTGTTTCTCATTTAAAAAATATTTCAAATATAATGTCAAAGCTGTCAAAGCGCTCGTTCATCTGCAAGCCATCATGCGAAAAATTTGCATATATCCATGTCCATGTCCATATCCATGTACTCAATACAGGTATGTACATATCTAACTGTATGTGCTTTCGAGGCAGCAGTTACGGCGAGATGTCCAACATGCGAGCAATTTCTAGCTAAACACAATTTGTCAGTTAGTCAGTAGTCAGTTAGTCAGTTAGTCAGTAGTGAATGTGGGCCAGCAGACGCTGCTGGCAGCTATAAAAAGCGACAACCCTCACCTCACCTTGACATCATTGCAGCGATAGTGGGACCCAGACAGTGTAGTAGTGTGTAGTCAGTTGAGGGGGGCGGGCGGCAGGGGAGGAGGGTACTAAGCGCTGCGATATTAATACGAGTGCTCAGGTGCAATTTAATTGCTGCCAAGATTTGCTTTTTTCCGCGCATTTTACTTTATGCACTCACACACACCCACAAACACACACACACAGCCAGAGAGATTCGTGAATGTCGAGGGGAAATGAAAATTAGAAAAGCAAACGCTCAGCACTCATGTGTGAGGTTGTGTGTGCATGTGTGAGTGTGTAAAGAGCCGGCAGCTGCAGGGACATTGCCTGGGGGCCACTGTGTGGCTGCATTAACACTTTCAAGTACACTGGGACCTTTAGTTTCACTTAAAATTAAACTCTGGAATTTATGTGGAATTCTGTGACAAAACCGTTCTCACAAAATATGTATTATATAGAAATCAAGCGGAAATTCGTTGGTTAACGTTATTGTATAAGTAGGGAGGATACAGAAAACAAAAACAATTTCAACATAGTAACCCTTTGAAGTTTTTCAACAATAGAGAACTTAAACTAAATAATAAAAACACCTATAGAAACTATAAAAAATATCTAATAAGGAATCCGACTCGGTTGATAAATATGCCCCGGTTCACAGCACAGAGAAATATAGTTGAAGAAATAACCAGGGACTGTAATCATTGTGTTATTAAAAAAATTATAAAATAATGATTATTTTTTAATTTTATTAATTCGCTCACAATTATATGATTAATTTAGAGTTTTACTTTAAAAATTAACCGATAATCATTATTGATGAGCAAACAAATAAAACTTACAAAATAATGATTATTCTTTGAGTTTTATTTTTTTGATCAAAAATAAAACTCAAGCTGCAATTTTGTCTGTTTCATAAGGATTATTGGTTAATTTTTAAAGTAAAACTCCAAATGAAATTCCAGTAAATTCCTCGCTTTCCAAAAGTTACTATGTATAAGTGAATGATTTTTTCGTTAAAAAAAAAAAAACAAAATAATCATTATTTGCGGTCCCTGGAAATAATAGTTAAAAAAAGCAAAAACAAGTAAAGTTAAATATAAATTTAAATTAAAGTTCTTAAATAATAAAAGATAAGCTATGTCCCAGCTAACAGCAGTGATGCCCTCACTTGTAATTAAAAAGTATTAAAATTAGAGGATTAAACAGAAAAGGATAATTACTAGGGCATCTGTTGAGTAGAAGAGGCAAAAAGTTTCTTGTTGGACTGGAAGGTACAGAAAAATGAATGCGACCTACTTTTACTATGAAAGATATTCACTAAGGTTGTCCTGAACACAGCCTCAGAACGAACTGTGAATAAGGTTTCCTTGGGTCCATTTTTGTACATACTTGTAGTAATACCTTAGTAGCTACATAGTCAACAAAAATCGAGATTAGGCCTTTGTCACTAACAAATCCGGCATGGAGTCTACTGAAATTTTGGAATTGCTTCCGTTGCTTTTGGGGAACGAAGTAACTATAAAGGACATCCTGTCATTATTTGCAAACTAATTTAGAACATTTTCAGTCATGGTCTTAATTCCGACCCTAGTTAGAAATTGTGCCAACATCTTACTAAGTATTATATTACTTTGTTTGCATTATACTTACATACCTCAAATTGTTTAATACCAAGATTAAATATTTTTTCTATCATTTATGTAAAAGAGTATTTCGAATTGAAGAATCGACATTTTGTGTTTTATTTTTCATGTGTACTCCTATTAGAGGCAGAAAAATTGTCTCAATATCAATTATAAAGCGATTGATGGTTCTGCAATCACTTTAAAGTTTTTCTAGCTAAAAAGTTTATCTGTATAGGTTATATAATAAGTCTGACCTCAGTCATAGGATTTTTGCATTTACTTTAAATTTCACTTTACTGATGTGCTCTATTCTTTCGCTATCTATTTCCAGAATCGGTCGCCCCAACGCAAAGCAGCGATTTAGTCAGCAATAATAGACGTGCGGCCTCAAGTGACTTATCCACAGCATCAGCCACTGCCAAAACTAGCTGCCAGCAAACTCAACCACAACAGCAACAACAACCCGTCTCTGACGATTCTAGCTCCCAGTCTCGAGCCTATCGCGGCCAGCACCCCCATTTCCATCATCACACAGCGCCCGCGTATTACACAGACGTCCACTTGCGGATCCATACACCCAATGCAGCGGATGTTGCGGCACTGAATGAGAACTATCAGAGTGTCTATAGCACACCCACACAGTTGGTGGGTAAAAACGAGAGATTCTTCCCAAAGAGCAGCACAGCGACGGTAGCGCCACCGCCCATAGCAGCCAGCTCCCGTTCCAAGTCCCCAACACCGGGAGGGAGTAGCATCCCAAAACAACAACAACAACAACATCAACAGAAGAACCCGCTGCGCTCAGCATTTTTTCGTGGCGACTCTGCGGCGATCGACAACACAAGACGCCGAAATTTCGAACGCTGCGTGAAATCATCGCCAGCGTGTGCGAGCCCCACAAAAGGTGACGAACCACAAGAAACAACAATTAGCTCGGCTTCTAAGGTTGCTTCCCCAATTCAAAAAGTCCATAGTAGTCGTAGTCTTAGTCCCCAAACTGCAGAAGTAGCGCCCGTATCCGCTAGTCTAGTCTTTGCCTGCACCAACTTCAAGCCCAGCAGCAGTGTTGAGCAGCCGGCGGCCAGTGTTGAGCAACCATCCTCATCGGGCCGCAGCAGTCGGCAGCGGTTTGCCAGTCGCTCGAAACGCGCTGTGCGCGTGCGCAGCGAATCACGACCTATCAGCGCACTCTATGACATAATATGCAAGGAGAAGGGCCTCGACATAGGCGATACAACGACCACCAACGACGAGGAGGAGCACGAAAGCAGGGAGAGGGACAAGGAGAGAGACAGAGACAGGGAGCAGAAGAGGAAGGTCGACCATTTGGCGCAACAGTCGCAAATAGACGCATCACAAACGAACGACACGCTGGCGACCTTTTGGGCATTGCATCAGGGCTACAACAACAATGCGGCCGCAATGAGCAGTGGCGTGCGCAATCCCAATCCGAATCCCAATTCCAGTAACTCACACGATGGCCCAAAGCGACAGCTGGCGAAGAAGAAGCGCCAGTTGACCAAACAGCTTGCCAGTAGCGATGATGATGACGATGCCGATGGCAATGCGCTGCACTCTAGTCACAAGCAAACGAATCTGCTGGCCAACAAGGCAGCCTCATTGCCACCACCGGAGGCCAATGCTGCTTCTCACTCATTATTACTAGCCAACAATTACCTCAATGAGAATGCCTCAACTTTGCAACCGGAATTGCCGGAGGCGCCGGTGAATACCCCACGATTGGCTGCACTGCATGACCGCTGCTCCAAGAGCCTTGAATCTTCGGCGAAGACAGCGCCGGCGCCCTCCATCGATGTGCTTAACTATGCGGGCCAACCATTCAGTACAGCCCGAATGTTTGTCGAACCGCCGAAAATGCCGATGCCAGACCTAAAACGAAGACTGGTCACGGCCTCTGGCCCGGCCGCCGAGCCCGATGAAAAAGCCATTGATGATGGCCCGGACATCTGTGGTCGTCTAGCCAAGGAAGATGAGGCTGCGATTAACGCTGATGCGGGCTATCAGGGCGAGGTGCTGGATACATTAGCACGCTGGCAACAGGAACTCTGCCCAGCAACCACTAGTAGTAGTAGTTGTGCCAACCACGATAATTTGTTTGTAAACGGTGCTAATGGTCATCAATCACCCACAACACATCATCAGCCTCAAGTAGAACAACATCATTCAACAGAATATCATTCGAATACAAACCATCATCATTCGACTCAGCATCAACATCAACATCAGCATCAAGCCACCAATGCGCGCAGGTAAGCACCAAACCAAACTCCCAGCAAACTTTACCAATTTCAGCAATTAGTATTAGTATCCATTCCTCCATCCGTCCAACCATCCAACCACTCGTACAAACCTTTGATGTGTATCTACTTCTATTTGCATGTTTGTCTGTGTGTGTGTGTTTGTCTGTGAACTTTAGTCGCAATTACGCGCATAATTAACTTAGCTGTTTAGCAGTTTAGTTGTTCTTGTTGCTCTTTTTATACCCTGTACCCAAAGGGTATATTAGTTTTGTGCGAGTGTTCATGTAACACGCAGAAGGAGGCGTGGCACACCCCACAAAGTGTATATATTCTTGATCAGGATGACAAGCCGAGTCTGTCTGCCTGTCTCTCCGTCTGTCTGTCTGTATGAACGCAAGGATCTCAGAAAGTATAAGAGCTAGAATAACCAAACTTGGTATCCAGATTCTCCTATGCCCGAGAAAGGGCAAGTTTGTTCATTTTTCCCGATGCATCCCCCCACTTTCCCGCTATTCGCGATTTTCTATAGCTTCCGTTATTCTTGGAATTTTAAATTAAAATTTGGTAGTCACATTCGGTTAGTGATTATATATCCTTATCCCAAGTTTTATTATGATGGGTTGATTAGAAATCAAGTTATAGCCATATAACGAGGCCCAAGCTCTGTCCGCAGCTATATTTGTTGCTGCTTTGACGTAATTATGTAATGCACACATACATATGTACATACAAACACACAAACACGTATAGACTCGATTCCGATGTAATTAATTACATAGTTAATTAATTTTTTTTGGGGGGCTAGTACAGGGTATTTAAGAGTTGAGCCTGCTCGACTTTAGCATTCCTTTTTTGTTTTTGCTAACTCAAGCCGAAAGCTTGTCTGGGTACAGGGTGTTTCGCTGTCGGGCTTGCTTGACTGTAGCCTTATCTCTCTTTGTTGTTGGAACTGTCACGATTACTGTCACGTGGATATGCACATAATGACTCATTCGTTCAAGATATACTAAGTATATTATGTATTGCAAGCTGTTGTAATCTACCTAATTGACTTATTTGAGTGTAAATGTATTGAACGATTTCATGAAGTTGGCATTAATACTTTGGCATTATCAAAGGAAATATAATAGACGCGGCATTTCTTGGGAAAAATCCGATTTACGAATGTGCCAAAAACTAATTAGGATAGATCACGTCATCTGTTTTAAATATGTGCCCCCTCTTCTGTGTAAACAAATCGTGCAATGTTTAAACTTACACCAGACCATAGAATACTTCTATGCCTTGGGCATTTCGTTCTATTCAGCGAGCTTACAAAAGCAGTGATTAATTATTATTATCAAGTCTGAAAAGTTGTAAACAGATGAGTTTCCATAATACTAAGCATCTACTTCTATACGACATATACGAGTATGTAGATAAGTTGTTCGGGAATATTTTGCCAATGATATACATTCCGTGAGAGTTTTAAATCCACAAATAAAAGCGATTGCGGAAATGTAAAAAAGTTTGAATATTAAGATGCGAAAAAAGGTTCTATGCTGGATATTTTTTTGCCAAAATATACAATATTCAAATGGATTTGTGTATTAAATTAAATATCTATTAGTAGTTATTAAATATGAAGAACAAGAAAACCTTTCCAACTAAATTTTGAATCTTAGAAGAAAACTGTTCTTAAGCTCCTTCTCATTTTAGAACTCAGCAGATGATTTAGCAGAGCTCATAATTTGTACACTTTCCAACACTCTGCCTTCTTCGCGATGTTGATTCGATTTTAACAGGCGTCAAACGCTTTGCTGCTACTTACCAAGAGTATATATTTTGTGGCCGTGTTTTATTTGTGTTATACAATCGGCAACATGGCATCGATCTGTAAGCAGGCACAACAAATCGCACCAAAGCCCAAAAGCAAACCGAACGCCAATTTCAACCGCATTTAACAAAATACTCGTAGTTGTTGGTATACGACGTGTTGTTATTGTTGTCTTGTTAACAAATGCAATTCGGTGTATTGTTCAATTTTAGTTTTTGAATGCGACCGACCGACCTCTCTGTTACGTCGCCTTATTGTCTGTGGCGACATTTAGTAGCGCTCGATTATTGGCCAAAAGTTTTCTTATTCGTGCACTGTGAAAATAAACAACATTGTGCTTATAATGAAGAAATACTATATAGTGCTGTAATACTAATGCCAATACCAATTTGTATTATTTTTTATTGTCTTTAAAGCGATTTTTTAGCGATTGAGTTTTCGGTAGCAATAAATACAGAGATGATGATATATAAACACTTTTCGAGAAACTTTTGTTCTAGATTTGTCGAAAAGCATGGCTAAAAAACAAAAAAAAATGTTCTAATTATGTTTTACTAAACCTTGCACTTGCTTTTTCTGAATGGCAAGCGAACTTTTTTTTTTTTGTAATTTTGAAATCAATTTTAATATTTCTTTAAATACTCAAAACCACTTTTCGAGACTCAAACGTTTTACTTAAAAATCTCAGTGAAGAACTGTGTGTGTGTGTGTGAATTACACTTATATAGAGACGGAAATATGATCTTTCCATCTTTAAATTTCATTTATTTTTATCATGTTGTTCCTACCAACCTTTTTTTAGTTCTCTATAACTATGCCTTTTTGCACTGCATTGCTCCGATTATATCTTTTTCGATTTTTATATTCTTATCACCACCATTTGGTCAGCACTTAGCAAATTAATTTCGCGCCTGTTTCTGAAGGGACGAGATTATTTTGTATTCAAAAAAGTGAATTGATACTCATTTTCCGACATGTTCCAAGTTCAAAGCCGTCTTGAATATTGAAAACGTTTTTCAGTGTAGCCTTTTAAAAGCGGCAACAATGCCAATGACAACAGCCACAATTTGTTGCATCAATTATAATGAGATATATCAAAACAATGGACAGCGGCACCCACTTTGACCCCGTACCCCCAGCCATGATCGACCACGAATGGCTGCTGACTCTTCTACAACCTGTCGGCGCATAGAAAGCACCTGTTTTACACTCAACCAACACCTTGGCCACCACATGGCACTGGCACTGGCACATTGACAACTTTTCCAGTTGGGCAGTGGCTTTGCTTTCGCTACAAAAATGCCTCATAAAAACAAAAACAACAACAACAAAAAACGAAGAAAGAAATGAAAATCGTTTGGAAATTTTCTTAAAATGCATTCAGCGTCGAGAATCTGTCGTTGGAAACAGAAGAGCAACGAAAAATTTGAATACGCTCAATTAAGTTGGGAATTTATAGTTTCCTATAAATGCATATAAGAGTAAATACACGTATGTATGTATGTACATATGTAAGATGTGCCCCTGTCGTCGCTTTTAGTTCACCTGCTGCGTCTAAACAACTGGCTGGCTATTAATTTTATGACACGGACCCTGCTGCTTGCCTGCCTGCCTGCCTGCCGGACTCAGTCGTCCACTCCTCCCCAGCTTTCGGTTTCGGCTCTGGCCCAGTTCAACATTCAACATACGTGTAGTCTTCTGGCTAGGCTCGTTGGTGGAGTGCTGGCCTAGGCTGGTCCTGATTTCGCTTTCAGTGGCCGCCAGTGGCCGTTGGAGCGAGCAGGTGTAGCCCAAAATGTGGCTAACAACCGGTTGCCCCAGGCGGGCCAAGTTTATGTCACTTTTCTTTTTCAAATATTTCTGGTATTGACAAACAAGTTGGAAAGTTCTCTGCCAATACATCAAATTGCAAACTCAAATCCTTGCCATGTCTGGCCTTGCCTCGCCCGGCCTGGCCTCTTCGCGGTCGCGGTAGCAACAATTTGTAAATTATGGAAATTTCCAACTCAAAGATACACAAAAAGATATTTTTCGTAAATCACACAAAGCAACAATAGTGACATTGATGCGACGCGACATTTAAATGAGCAGAGGGGGGAGCGAAACAAACAAACAGACGGAAAAGAGAAGACGAAACTGATGACGACTACTCGACTACCTGACTTGACGGACGGACTCACTGACTGACTGACTGACTGACTGACTGTCCAGGCGACGGACTAACTGCTTGATTGACTGCCGCCAACTAGACTCTGATGATGGCAATGGCGCGTCTAGCTGTGGCGCATTTTGCAAATTTTCAGTTACATGCCATGAGATTTGTTCGCCAGACACAACCCAGGCCGCCAGTCGAGGAAACAAATGCAGCCACTTTGCCTCTAACTGTTCCATGCGTGTGTCCGTCCGTCCGTCCGTCCGTCTGTCTGTCCGTCTGTCTGTCTGCCTGTTCGTCTACTAATGGATATCATTTACATGGCGGAGATAACGCTGCGTAAAGGCAGACAATGATAGATGTCTAGAGCTGCATTGATTCCAAATATCCAAATATCATAAAAAACAAACTAGATCACATTTCTAAGAGGTATTAAAGCTTACTTTTCCATAATTGCTTTAATATTCGATTTTACAATTCATGATATGTATATTCGTTGTTTCAAGCTGCTTTGCACCTCTACTTCAAATGCGGATGAATCCAAAATTTTTAATCAAAACAATTGAACTAGCTCTTCTTTGGGAAGAAGATGATATGACTTCCTATAAAGAAGGACTGACAATATTTGTAGCATTTTAAGCATTTTCAAACCCTGAAATTGGAACTTACAAGCAAAAAAAGGTATATTATATTATTGGGATATAAAAATTTGAATTCAAGCAAAAATTTGTCTGCCACCATGGAACTCCGTCCTAAAGGCCTAGTTTCCCCTCACAATCCAGCACAAACTTATCTCCCGATTTGAAGGAGATAGTAAACAACAGGGCTAAGTCTTATTAATCGTCATAAAATTAACGAAAAACCCCATATATACTTCTCCCACTGGTTACAGAATAAAGAATGTAAATATAGACGAGAATTGTCCATGAATATTATGATCCGAAGAATTACAGATCGGTTTCTAAAAAATTGTTTTTGGTCGACCATCTCGCTGATTTTAAAATGGAAATAAAGAAACACAAATTATCTCATTTTTAAATTTTATAATTAGAATATATTTTTTGGGGTTCTTACTGAATTAAATTAGATTTGCCCGTTGAAAGATACATAGATTATCGGTTCCTGTTTTATAAACAAACAAAAACTCCCCATCTCCGTTTATTTATTTATTATTAGAATGGAAAGATCTTACGCACGCAAGAGCCAATGCTTTGAACGAATTTATTATTAAGCGAAAGAGGGATCTACTTGTACATTAAAATCACTGCAGTGTATAACAGATGGGAGTTAGCAGGCCGATTTACATATACTCGGACAGCCAAACAACGGTTACGGTACTTGATTCCAACTTGTAGACAACTGCCGAATCATCACTGACTGCCGTAGATCTCTTATGAGTACCAGGCCATTGAAACATTGAGAGAAATTTGTGGGTTCAAGCAATGCCACTACGCTCCTAAAACTGAAATGGAATTATAGTATCCATGGTGATGGGGTACTTACTTGAAGAAGCGGCAGAGATGAGGAAAGCGCAGAGCACCTTCTTTGTTCGGCTCTCAGGAGAGTCAGGTTCACTGCCTTCAGTGCTAAAGGATCGCACAGATATCGATAGTACGACCTGTATTACCTGTACCAGCCTAACTTCAAGCCAGAAAGTACCTCTAAATTTCTAACAATGCATGGAGTATACTCGTAAATAGGTATAATATCTGGATGGGACTACATAATACATTTTAAAAACAAGAATTACTTTTTTAATACAAGTAGTTAGATAAGGTTTTTTTAAATTAAAACAAAAACCATGTTGGTTTAATACTTTAATTGCTTTAGGGATATCATTTGTTTTTATGATGCTAATTGTAGTGTATGTAGTATTGTATAATATGTAGTATACTCCTACATAGGTATAATATCTGGATGGGACTATATAATACATTTTAGAAACAAGAATTACTTTTTTAATACAAGTAGTTAGATAAGGTTTTTTTAAATGAAAACAAAAACCATGTTGGTTTAATACTTTAATTGCTTTAGGGATATCATTTATTTTTATGATGCTAATTGAATTCGTAAGTTTCCTCTCCAATATCTCATTTCGTGAATATTCATCTTCTTTGGAAAATTATGCATACCACACGATTTTAAGGACTTTGTGCTCGTAGTTCATTAAATTGAATCCGACTGTGTGCGCTCAGGTCTGCTCGTATTAGACAGCGCAGAGCCCGGCAGCAGCACAAAGTAAAGCGGTTTCTCGTCGCTACCTGCTTCTTAACCGTTGCGCATGCGTTGCAACAACAACAACAACAACAATAGCAATGGCAATCGCAACAACTTCGGCACAACAACAATAACAATTTATAACAATAACAAACTTGTTACGCTTTTGTTCTTGACGTGTTGCCATTGCCGTCGTCAGATAAAATGTGTTTTGTATCTTGCAGATACGGCAGACGCAAGAGGCCGCTACCTACTACTAGCTGGCTAGCCATATGTGCTCGTACATATGTATGCACCTATATGTATGTGCATGTTTGTGTGTGTGTGTGTGTGTGTCTGCATGTGCGAATTCGCGCTCTTTGTTTTGAGTGATTTCGTTTTTGAGTCATTTCCTCGTTTGTAGTGCGTCCGCTGCTTACCACTTGTAGTGTGTTGTGTTGTAGCTACATGTGTGTGTGTGTGTGTGTGTGTGTGTGTGTATGCCTTTCGCCGGGCAAGTTTTGTGTATCTGCAAGATACAAAATGTACATACGCCACATACAGAGACTCGGCGGCAAAAACCCAACAGCCAAAAACTCTTGTTATTATCTCTCAACGTGTTGTTGTTTCGCTGATCACTCCGAGCTGCGCTTCAATGTGGGTTTCTCTGTTTCTCTGCCATAGCTTGTTGTTATTGTTGTTGTTGTTACTGTTTTGTTGTCTTGGTATTTTTTCGGGTTGCCTTGAGCGACGATGCCGAGCGCTGCGCCAGTTGCTGAGCGTGTTTGCTGGCGTCTGGCTGCTTCGCATCTAGCGGAACATTTCTCGTGTGTGATATCTATCCCATTTAACATATCTACATACATACATAGATACTTGGCTACACCAACCAACATACTCGTATATGTTACGTTATTTTACCGCCTGTCCGACAACAACAACAACAACTATAACTACTGCTAACTGCTGCTTTTTGTTGTACAACGGTTTCAATTGCGTGTCAAACAAAGTGTGTGTTGTTTTGTGTGTGTGTGTGTATTCAGTGTATTCAGAAGAACCATCAAAGCCGACTACACCAACCTCCACCTCCAGCTGTTCTTCTCTAGCTGTGCGTAACTAATGATTGCTCCCTTTTCGCAATACGTGTGTGTTCTCAAAACGTTAGTTATCTCAACTGTTTCCACCGCTTCTTCTGCAGATTCATAACGCGTACACCGCGCTCCGCGAGTCGCCAAAGTGTCCACTCATCACCACCACCACCAGCACCACTAACAACAACAACAACAACAACAGGAGCAGTCCATTATCGCAGCGACTCCTCCTCCTGTTCGCCATCGCCAACCCGCAGGCGACACTCGCCGCAAGCTCCAGAAGATTATTGTTACTCGGCCCTTGGCGATCATAACTCGTCGGCGAACGGCAACAGTTCGGCTTATGAGACGGCGGCCACCAGTGTGATGACCCACAACACAGCCACCTTGGCGCCACAACAGCAACAACAACAACAAAAACAACAACAAGAGCATCAGGCAGGCAACGCCGTCGTAGTTCCTAAACCAGCACCCGTGCCCAGCTTGGAGGCGCCTCAATCCGCAACAGCAGTCATCAAACGTGCCGACAGTGGACATTTGACAGGTGAGTGCGAACTTTGTCATGTGTGTGTGTGTGTGTGTGTGTGTGTGTGTGCGTGCAACGCATGTGCTTGTCTACGTGTCACCTTGATACTTATCTACATGTCCATATACTAGTTGCTTTTCTATTCTGTCGGAAAATTTCCTAACAAAAATCACATTGCATTTCGCGCGCAACCGAAGGTGTGATTTCAGAATCGTAATGCCTATTTTTAGGGCCTATTCACAGTTGATGATGTAAAAAGAACAATTCAACAGATAATAGAACTGACGATTGCACATTAATGTACTCAATATTTTGCCGATAAGGGCACAGAGTAGAGAGACACAAGTCAGCAATCTAGTCGTAGGATTTTGTTTTCATTAACATCTAGAACTCAGCAGATTCTATTTGTTAGTAGCTTTTTTTGAAATATACTCACCACATTTAAGAAATCAATTGACAGCAAAAACTAGTTTTTCAATATTTACAGACCATGTCCATTTCCGCAACAATTTGTATAAACAAACTTTAAAAAAAAAAAACTTATGTACTAAGACATTAAAAATTAAGAACAGCATACATTTAGGCTTCACTTTTCGGCTTCCCTGTCTATGACAGACATAAGATAATTAACTTTTTTGTTTGAAAGTATAATATTTTAATAACAATACGTCAAAGACAAGTCAATAATTAATATATTTATTTTAAAAATATTTTCAAAATTATACTTTTACCAAAACACATTTACTTAAAAATGAGTTAAAAAAAACCGATAAGCGGATTTTAAAAATAATTATTAGACGTTTAGTATTTTAGGAAACAATTTAAAAGTAAATTTATTTGAAACTGTGACGAGTATTAATTTACCTCAACGAACGGTTAGGAAAATTTAAAAAAGTTCAGTAAGAATTTAGTTAGTCATAATGATTTCATTACATAAAGAATGTAATAAAAATAAATATCCAGGATAACATCTTCCAATCAATGAAAATGCATACAACCTGATCTACAACTTAGAACAACAATTTAGACTAAAAGATTTCAATTCAACAGAAATACTTTCTTTTAAGTCGTCATCTTTTTCGCCAAAAGGTTAATCAAGATCTTAGAACGTGTTATACTTAGTATATAGGAATCGCCAGTTGTGATGATAATACGATTTTTGTTTTCTTTGTCTTAATCTATTGTTATTGAATTGTCTTGTCCCGCTTTTGTGTGTTGTCTGGTGTTTTGTCTACACCTTTTATTAACCTTTTCAGCCTCCTCCTCCGTGCACTTTTGTCTTGAAACCGATCATTAATTTCTTTCACAACCTTTCCCAAGCGATTGTGAGGCAATTAGCCCGCCTCCCTAAAAGACAACAACAACAAAAATGTAAAAAACCTCAACATTTGGCTGCAAATTTCACAAAATAACAACTCTTTACTTTAAACGTTTCGTTTTTTTGCTTCACAAACACTTAAAAGCAATTTAAACTAAATTAGATTGTGGCTTGCCAATCAATCTTCAAAATTTCTAGACAAATGTTAAACTCATTGGCTAGACCTTCAGAGCTAGATGAAACAAAATTGCCGCTGCCATCAACTCCTATATAATAATTATTGCAAAAAAAAACAAAAAAAAAAGTCGTTATAAAGGAAAAATCTGAATTCAATTTTTTAAATGTTTGGACGTCTCGAGTCTTGAGAGTTTGACTTTTTTATTTTTATAATTTGTGCTGCCTGTCATGAGAGGCAATAAAAAAGAAATACTCGTAAAAAATCAATAGATTTGACAAAACAAACCGCTAGACTTGTTGTTGTTGCTGTTGTTGTTGGCTGTGGAGCCCTCCGGGCAACTAAAATAAAACTTGAAACGCTTGGCAAACTTAGGCAAATCACAAAAATGAGAGATGCCATAAAATTGCTAATACTCGTAGAGCCGAGCCCAACACATTGCCGTGTTGTGGCTGTTGTTGTTGTTGGTCCCAATTTTATCATTCAAAGAAGACATTTTATTTCGCTCCATTCATTGATAGTCAGTCTTGCGTTTCTGTTTATTTAACTTCTCCAGTTTTTCTCCAGTTGTCTCCTACCAGCGCTGTTGAGAAAAAAAGAGTTTCATAAATTTTTGACAAGCACCGTTACGAGTGCACACGCAAAGGCTTGAGAAAGTTGACCATCATCAACATTTACGGCAACGCTTTATCAACACATTTGCATGGAAATATGTTGTGAGTAAAGCCCCCCCCCCCTCCCCCCCCCTGTACCTCGCTTCTCCGCTTCAAGCCACCCAGCCAACCATGGCGACATCGAAAATGTCACTCACATACAAATTAAAAGCCCAGCGGTATCTAACGGCTACTGATAATAATGTTGATGAGCTTAATGATGTGGATGATGATAATGACGATGGGGATGATGATGAAGATCGATCTGCGTTGACTACAATTTTGCATGCCAATTGTTTGTTTATCTTTCTGCTGAGACGTCTCTTCGGATTGATTTCAATATTTGCCAATTTGGCAATCTTATTCAGTTGCTGTTCATTGTTTGGGCTTTTTATGCGGAATTAATTTAATTTTTTTAAACGCTTCAAGAGTTGAAGCTTCATGCTGCGCGTCTAGGGCAATGTTCGGCAGTCTAAAAAAAAATATTTAAAAAAAAAACAACAAGCTACAAAAAGGGGCAACGCGTTCAGTGATCTTTGGCTCTATGGAAGGCAATGAACTGCACCCGGGCGTGTGGATGATGTGTTAAAGATGATTCGCTTAATCTTTTTCTGTTTTTGTTTGTTTTTGTTTTTTGCATGAATTGTGTAAAATGGCTCTTGAAAAGAATTACATAATCCGAAAGATAGGGAAGTGGCACAGCAGCTATTAATTTCGCAATTTATATTGTGTTGCTTGAGTTTTATTCGAAATATTCTTGGTTGGGAATCTGTTTTTGTTTTGGATTTTCAACAACCAGAATGTGGTTACATTTTACGAAATATTTATTATCTTTTTTAAAACAATCATTCAAATTAATTCCCTTCGAATTCCCTCAACGCTTTTTCAATCGTTGAAGCAGTCCGAATAATTATTTCCTTCGGTACTTTTTACAATTCGTCTTTAATCTCTTTAATTGTATTAAAACGATGTCCCTGGAGCGGTCTTTTCAATAGTTGTGAAACGATATGCGTCTTGTTTTTAACGAAATGGTGCAGTGTTTTTGGATCCAAGCGAGATTTGACTTTTACTTTAACAAAACAAAAAATCTCTTAAAATAGAAATAATTGTTAATCGTCGGTTTTTGAAAACCATCAGTCTTCAACGCTTTTTCGACCCTTTTCCAACAGTGTATGCATTCATAGCCTGTTTATCGAAAGTCTTCTGCAATATTCTTAATGTTTCGGCTGCAAAAATTCCATTCCACAAAATTTTGCCGGACATTTTTCCCTTGTTAAATTATTTCGGATATTTTAAAAATTTGAAGAATCACTTCCAAGCAATGAAGCAAAAGGAATGGAAAATAAAATAATTTGTCTCTAAAGAAACACCCGCTCTGGGTCATATTTGTAGACAGCAGTAATTCAAAAGGCAACCACTAAATACTTGCATAGTATAAAATACTTTAATCAATGTTATACTGTTTATTATCATACATATGTAAATTTGCTCAGCGCTTGCAAAGCAGTTTCCTTTATCAAAAACGCATTATTTCATTCTGTTCTAAATTCTAAAGAAACAGTGTGGTTCTATTTTAATTAAAGCCTGAAGGTCATCCATTCTATGGTCCAACAGAATTGAAAAGTGCTGCTTTTAGATTATGTATTAAATTGTTAATTTTTCAAATAACTTACTAGACCTCAATTGTACATTATTACCTTGAACTTAGTCGGCATTAATTTCTTAACCTCGTTTCCATTTGAAAACTAAGATGCTGAATAGATTTATTATGAAACCGGTCTTTCTCTTGTAGCTGTAAAATACAGTACAGTCAATCAATTCTGTTCACATGTTGTAATCTGTATTCTAACTTAAATACTCTTATTTGATATTCTTTAAAGTAGTATATACTATTTTTTTATATATCTTGCTACTGGTGCTCTAAGGCGATCGGATGGCAATGGAGTGAAAACTTGAAAACTTTTTCAACTGCAGTTTGTTTCACGACTACTTGACTTATTCTTATTCTTGTGTTCTTCCCTGAACTAGGGTTGCCACCAAGTGAAATCATCATCACCTTACTTATTGTGAATAAAAAAATTTAGTTTAAATGTAGTTTAAATCTAGTATATTTTTTTAAAGCAATTGCACTTCTAGGAAAACACTTGTAACATTTTTCTTGACTCTACACTCTTCCTTCCTAAAGTTACGGAAAAATTTTAGGCATAATTTCTATACAAAAGCGACGGTGTAGTGCGCCATTATCTATACACATTTCCCCAATTAAAATATTACTCTGATAATAGTGCTTTGTAATGGAAAATATTATCTTTGCGATCAAATTTGTATTACACTTTCTACTATATAGAAAAGCAACGATATATGTATGTAATATAATATTCCCTTCTCAATTGTTTTGAGTTCCGCATTAAATACAAACAAAGTGGTATCTGCAATTTGAATCAATAACACAGCTTCTCTATAACTGTCTTATGCAATCGCCCCTAACCGGCTTTGCATCGCTTTTATTTTCAATACCACGGCACGCACACATGCACAAACATACAAACTATATGTAGTTGTACATACAAGTATAACATATTTGGCTTTTGTGTGAAATATAAAAAAATACATACTCATGCCAATGAAAATCAAAACATTTACCCAAAAAACCACACTCTCGCCCGCTCTCACACACACATCTATATATACATATATATATATATATATATGTATATAGCTGACGTCAGAGGTAAAGCTGCCATTGTTGCCGCCAACGCCAAATGCAACGTTAATTGCAATTGCAACAACAATCACAACAGCAGCAGCAGCAGCAGCAGCAACAACAACACTCACTCCACATACGCCAACGCCCACGCTAACGCCACGCCCATGCCGCCTCTCGCTAATGCCAACAATGCGCCGTTAATTGTGCTGAAAGCCACAACAGCAGCAGCAGCAGCAGCAACAGCAACAACTACAACTTCGGCAACAGCAGCAGCCGCAACTTTGGCGCCCTCGCCCACGAAGCGTCGAAAGAATCCATTGTCGCCATTGCGAATTAACAGCTCATCCTCCCCAGCCTCAGCTTCGGCTTCGGCTTCGGCTTCAGCCTCGACAGCTCCTTCGTCTTCATCTTCGAATCAGCATAGTCCGCTTTTAGGCGCCAGCACCTCTCCGGCCGTTCGCACTAATAAGACGAGTCGCTTGCGCGCCGCTGCGCTTGGTGAGTGCCTTTCTCGTTGTACAAATACAACAACAACAACAACAACAGCTAGAAACGACTAGCAGCTATCATTATCACCCACTCATTAGTCATTAGTAGTGCTATTGGTAAAGGCTTTCGCTTTCGAAATTAATCCTTGAATGTTGCAAATTCCATGAGATCCGTGATTAAAGCCCAGCACTCACCCAACTAACTGTACATTTTACGCTCTCTTCTCTTCCCGCACGCCTCTCACACCCGTTCACACCCCAACCAACCAACCAACCAACCAATCAACCGCACAGACAAGAAAAAGGAAGAGGAATTGCATCAGCGCCATCCACGCTACAGCTCTCCCTCCTCGCCGCGTCAGCCCACGACCCCAACGGCACGTCGTCTCAGTTCCTGCGAGCTTTCGCCGAAATCGCCCAGCGGTTCCCTATCCGAGCCTAGTGCCGCCATCCCCTGCAGCAGCAACAGCAGCAGTCGCCTGCCTGTACGTTCTGCTTCGCAGCCGGCGGAGACGTCACCGGTGAGCCGCCGACTTGTGCCCACAGCTACCATCTCCATGAAACAGAATCTCAGCGAACTTCATTTCATGGGAGGCAGTCCACCGAGTCCGCAGAAAACTACGGCTGAGTGTACGCTGCGCATGCGGCCGCGCAGCTCCACAATGTGCACGGATCGAGAGACCAATGGGAAGCAGTCGCAGCAGCAGCAGCAGCACCGAGACAACCTGACAACCCTGCAACTGAGTCCGGTTCAGAAGCAGCAGAAGCAACGAACGGTAAGTCAGCTGCCAGCCAGAATGGAAATGTTTAAGGAGAATTCACAAAAGTTGGGGAAAGATCTTTCTTTTTCTGCCTCTCTAGGAGCTTAAGGCACATTTTGCAAAAGAGGGTTCTCATTTATAAATATCATCCCCAATATTTTCTGAAACATAATATCTTGTTAAATCTATGTACAATATATATCGAGCACTAACACCATAGCCACCATTCTTTAAAAGTATTCGAATTCTACCTGTGGTGCCGAAATGTGGAATTCCGTAGATATGTGCTTCGTAGGTCCAACAGAAATCAACAGAAAATATAATTACAGATAGATTTATAGCAAGTAATTATTTTCGATTTATCGAGACTTTCTAAGCCCCGTATTCTTAAAATATAAAACTTACATAGGTATATGATATGTACAAATCGAACGTTCTGCTGCCTTATACTTGTATAAGTTTTAGATTGAAAGTTTCAATATCAAATAATAATAATTCCCAGCCTAACAAGAATAGAATGCTAGAGTCAAATGGGCCAAACTCTTAGATACCCTGCACCCACTCCCAAAAAAAAAAGAGAAAAAAAGGGGGGAAAAGACGCAAACTCGTACTTTCTCGGACATATGAGAATCTCGATCCCAAATTTACTTATCGTAACTCTTATACTTTCTGAGATATTTGCGACGGACGACATATCGACTCGTCTTATTATACTTTGGAGAGTCTTCCTTCTATGTGTTACATGCTTTCGCACTAAACTAGTATACTTGTTACCGTTTAGGTACAGGGTATAAACATTTGACAGAGAATTTCTGTTGGCAAATGTTGAAAATATTTACGAATGTGTTTCTATTCGTAACATTGCCATAAATGCAGAACTCAGTCAAACCTAAGCTATTTCTACTGTTCAGCATTGAAGAGAGCTTTACTAATAATATATCACGAAATCTTTTGCAGCCCGATTGCTCACCCCGTCGCCTTGGAGACCGCGACAAATCGGCGAAACGTAAATCGAATTTAAATCGTTCCCAAAACGAGGAAGCTACACAGGATGGTGGTAAGTGGGCGCGTCCACGACAAAATGTTGAGCAACGATGCGATGTGCAGTATGGCAAGAGGCGGCAGTTTTGGACACTTGGAATAAGTATAGCCCTGACCCATTGACGTGCCGCATCGGCGACGCCTCAACTCATGTGATCGATTACAGCCAAATTTGGTCAGATTTGTACGCGCTATTAACTGCTGCTGATTTTGTTAAACCCTGTGTGGTTGGTTCAGTCTCTGCTGAGCTGCCGGAGTTCACGCATCAATATGCGGGAAAGCAGTTTCAAAACACGAATCAAACACATACATCTGCACACATTCGTGCTGCTAGATCAGCAGCAACAATTCACACGCTTCCTAAGCATCCGCATGCGAACAACCTGTGTAAAATATGTTCAGTTGCAAGCCAAGCCACGTCCCAACTGCCCGCCCTCCATGTTGTTATGCACGTGTCACATCCATGTCGACTGCTTGTGTAACCTTTAATTACTCCACATTCTAATGTTCCTCTTCTTCTCCGCAGACGATGCGTTGGCCACACGCCGCCGTCGACGTCGTGAACTGGGCATGGCTCGTGCATTGATCCCAGGCGAAGATGCTGTGCTGCGTGAACTTCTACAGTCCCCGCAAAAATCCTCATGCAGCGAGTCCACGGCCAACTCCAAGTCCGAGCCGAGTCGCAGCTCGAAGTCATCGGCAGCAAACAGCAGCAATAATAGCAAAGCCATAAATGTGCCCCCTTTGCTGCATCCCGAGGTTCCTGTACGCACGCTGACAGCTGTGCTGCCACCGCCCAAATCCTTGATTGGCACATCACGCGTGAGTCGCCGCAGCGATACTTTGCCATTGGGGGGTGCATTGCGCAAACAGCGCACTGAGGATGTCAATCATAAGGTCAACGAACGTACCAAAAGCGATCTTGCCGAGATCATGAAGATTGCTGAACAGGCCAATGCAGCGGGCGGTGATGAGGTCGTGAAGACGCACGATGCTCGTGAAGATCGTGATGCTGGCGGTTACGAAGCAATGCCCATATTGAAGATGTCGCCCATATTGCGTCGCAAGAGCACGGATGAAGCTCAGCTGTTGGCAAACAGTAACTCACAGAGCTCTCCCCCAGCGCCCAATCAGATTGTGTCCATTCTGAAGAAGAAGGAACATGCCTTCGGGGAGTGCAGCTCCGCTTCCAGCAACGCCTCACCAGTGACCTTCTCAGCTAATGTGGTGGATACGCCCACCAAACATAAGCGTCAGGGCATATTGAAGAAGCGTTCCAGTCTGGACGAGTCACGTTATTATTCGCGCTCGCACTCGCCGGACGAGCGGAGCATTCTAATTAAGTCTGCGCGACGAAATTCGTTGGAGGAGGCCCTGGGCAGCAATTCCGGCCTAGCCCAAGCGCATCTGCATCAACAACAACAACAACAACATGGTATACTAAAACAGAGCAGCTACGACAGCAGCAAGAGCGATGGCTGTCCCTCGGCCAACGAATGTCAGCCTCATAGCATACTGAAGAAGAAGGATTCGCTCTCTACTCCTTCAGATGGGGGCGCACATGTATCCAAGCACGTCTCGATATCCCAGGCTGTTACTTTGGCTGCTGCCGAGCTGGGGCGCGCGGCAAACGAAGGAGAACATCATGCTCTGGACGACTCGTACGTAACTCCGAATAATGAAGAATATGAAATACGGCCGATTTTGAAACAAGAGAGCACATCCAGCGAAGAGGCGGCTCGACCACCGAAGCCCATACTAAAGAAGAAATCCTTTAGTGATGCCGATGAGCAGGAAATTCGACCCATTCTGAAGACATCCCGCAAGAGCAGTCGCGAAGAGTTCGATCTGAGTGGCCTGCCCAACGAGGGTGGCGAATGCAATGGCGAACCATCAGGAGTCCGACCCATACTTAAAACGGATTCACCTTCCAAACGTCGCTCCTTGGGCCACGAGTCGGGCGCCAATTCCCCTGGATTGCTGAAAAGACGCACGCGATCCTTGGAACGTCATGATGTGCCGCCAGTGCCGGATCTAGCGGCAGCGCTCAATGCCATTTCCTCGTCCCAGGCAGTTGCATCCGCTGCGTCGCCCAGCTCATCTACAAATGTTGTTCCCGCTCCCACCAGCAGTCTGTCCGTGGCTGAGCGTATTAAGAATATGGAAAAGCTAACTACGCCACCAGCGCGGGCGGCCAGCATCAACACTAGTTGGGAATCGCCGTTGCAGCACGGAGCAGAGACTGCAGCAGACCAGGGAACGCCTAAGCTGCTGAAGCCGAGCGTCCTCAGACGGGACCTCTATCGTGAGCGCTACAAGACGCAGCCGGTGACTAGTGAGGAGAAGAACTTGTAAGTACAGTAAGCCGATGAAGCTCTCGAAATAAATTATACTAGAAGGCCTCTTAGCCCCACCCTCCCTCTCTCTCTCTCTCTCTCTTTCTCTCTGCCTATCTGGGCTTTGGTCAATGGTTTTATACTATAAGTTAAGAAACTAGTTGGGAGGGAACTTAACGGTGCAGAATCAAAATGTAATTAAATTTAGACTTAAGCTAGGAGCCGACTATTCTACAACTAAAATAATAGAAAAATCTCAATGCGATTTAACCCCTGATTTAACGTGATATGCGATGCAATAAGTTACATAATCCCAATCTCAATTCTGACAATGCAATTTAATACCTGGTTTGAACATGATATGCGATTCAATAAGGTACTTAAGAAACCAGTTCTTTAACTATTTTAGTCCCAACAGAAAAATGTCAATGCTGGCAATGCGATTTAATCCCTGATCTGATGCGACTCGAAGAGCTGGAAACAGTTTATCTTTCAATTTTCATAATTATTAACAGTTTTATTGGGTAGGCTATACAATCGGGGTAATAAATAATCAGGCTTCATTGAGAGGTAATCTATATCTAGTTTATAGTCCAATTTTTCCTCCATAAATAATAATAATACTTGTATGTATCTGGGTGGACTGGTTATCGACGCATCTAAATCCAGCATCGAAAATATGTTTGTGGCTATTTTTGGTTTTGTCTACAATATTTTATCAGAGCACGCAGCCCCCCACCCCTTTAACCTCCCTTCATGTACTCCCCCTTTCCCTGCCCCTTTGCTAGGTTGGGACCACGCATGTCGCACGCCATTTTCTAATAATATGGAATTACAGTTGTACATAGTTGTGTGATTTGTTCACATTGTTCAAGCGACCGTCCCATCCCGTCCAGTGCAGTTCAGGGTCACTTCATCAGCATCGTCACAGCCGTCGCCACCGTCGCAGTTCGCTGCTCTTTCCTCGCCAAGCCGCCCTGCTCCGTTCTGCGCCCCAACTCCACAAAAATCTGTTAATTTCACGAAAATCTCTACAGGCCCGCCTCGCTGCGCGCATTGTGCAAACTTTCAGCTTCAACTGCCGCCAGTAACAATTTGTTTTTGATGTTGTTGTTGTTTTCACCGTGTAAAAACAATGCACAGATTTGGGCGATCGTTGTCGGCCGCGGGTCCTATACATATGTATATATAGTGTGTATATATGCTTTTGTTTTTTCACTCAAAATGAGTCTCTACATGCGCGATTGCGAGTTGGCCAAAATGAATCAGCAGCTGGAAAGCCCTTCATAACCGTGATTGAACTTTCCATTTAGTTCGAAAGCAATCAATAGGCGGGTACATATATACATACATATATGTGCCTAACTACGTGTTTATGCCCCCAACCCAACAAACCCACAAAAACCTTCGGCACAAATCGCCAATGACGTTCCCAATTGGCAGTATCATATCGCAAGTATAGTATGTATTTCACTTTTCACTTCTTGTTTCGCCGCCATATAATCGGCTTATTGCTTACCTAATTACCTGACTGACTATTGAGGGTAAAGGTGTACAAAAAGTTAGTAATGGGGAAGGTCGATGGGCGGAGCTGTGGTGAGGGCGCAAAAAAGGTTGGCGCTGTTCAATAAAAAGCAAGTGTATCCAAGAAGAACTCTTTAAATTATTTAGGGCATATTTTGTAATCAATATAATAATAGTATTAACGCTAAACTTATGGCATAATATACGTTGCCAGGAAGTCCAAAAGGATTATGAGGTGTTCTAAAAACGAAAATACACAAAACATGAACTCTGATTAAATCAGTAATTGACGCTACCGGAACATGCAAGAGTTTGTCAAGAAACTATTTTGATGGAATAAGTTTTATCTAATCGGACTAATGAGTCTTTTCCCCTCTATCATATAGACTTTTCTTTAGATCAAAATATAACTTTTCGACTAACTTTATAATATAAAAAATGTAATAAAATTGGGATCTTAGTGGGTCCGTTCCTCTCTATCATTATAGATCTGACTATGATATTTCAACTAAATTTAATAAATAAATAATTTCTCCAAATTAGGATCCATGTTTAGACATGGAAACTTAATTATCAGTAATTAGGTTACGAAAAAATCGGTTTTTTCTTACCATAAGAAATGCCTTTTAATTTATAAGTATAAACCCAAAACTTCCTTCAAGATGATAAACTGATGATAAAAGATGCTCAGGTAGAACACACAAGTGCCGTCCCCAATCAATACCTTATCTTGCTATCTCTCGAAATCGCACCTACCTACTATTTAGCATTTTAATAAGGAGTCGTACATTTCTCTCTACTTGTATTGCCAGCAATTAGTGGGAAACAAAATAATATTCTATTTGTCTTACCGCCCCACCTTGTTGCCAACTCTGTCACGGCCACGCTCGTAAACCTAGTTTCCAGAACTTTGGAGAACAGAACCCACCACAACTAGACGACATCAGACAGCACTGTATTCCTCATTTAACTGTGTTTTTATGTCACATTTTTATGTGCTTGTTTTCGGTCTTGTTTATTTTACTTTACTTTTTGCTCTTTAGCCACACCCTTTGCGCACCAAATTCTGTAGAAAAACAAAGGCGTTTACGGCGCTAAATCGTCACCAGGCTTACTTTTTTTGTTGTTGTTGGTTTTTTTGCACTTCTCCCACATTTTGCATTCAGCAAACCATATTCACGGCAATATTTTTGTTGCCTTTGTCGCCGCTTTGTGCCTTGTAATTTATGCTTCCCATGGCTTCCCATGTCGCCACTGCATTCAGTTAGTTCGCGTACTCGAACGCATTTAGAGATAGAGATACATTTTTTGCGCGCATTTGCGGAATGCGTTGTTGCTTGCCGCTCTCCAACGATTATTTGTGTCCATGTTGTTCGAACACCGCCAAAGTGAAAAAATGTTTGAGGCGTACATCAAAAAACGGTATAAATGCAAATGTTTAGCCATAAAAAGCGAACACCATTAGTTGTAAGAGTACTTGTAGTTCATTTCATGCTCGAATAGCTATTAGTAGTGGACAGTTAATGGATGGGACGCAAGAGCTGCCAGCTACCAACATGTGTACTAGCTGGTTACAGATCTATATCTACAACTATGTATGAGTACAATATATTTGAAGTACACCTAGTACTGGCAGGCTTATGATAATGCAGAAAGCAACACTCTTGATAAGATAGTCGTTGGCTACGCAACTTATGATTACAGGGCAGTGTACTGGATTTATAACTAGGGTAGTGAGTCAGTTACATTTCCATTAACTGGACTCCAGTCAAGGTTCACCTTGAGTGAAGAGGAAGAATTTGGTAATCTCTAGGCGAATGATACACGATCTGTGAAAGGACAACATTTATGATCGAACGAGTGAACTCCAACAGATGAACTCTGATGGGTGCACTGTGAGGAGTGAGCTGGAATCGGTGAACAGTTAAAGATGAATCTGATAGATGAATACTGATTGGTGAACAGTGATGGACAACTCTGATAGAACAACACAAATGGGTGCACAGTGATGGGTGAATAAAGATACTTTAATAGATGAACTCTGATAGATGAACTCTGGTGGGTGTAGTGTGAGGGGTGATCTGTAACCGGTGAACAGTGAAAGATGAATCTGATAGATGAATACTGATTGGTGAACAGTGATGGGTGAATAGTGATAGATGAACACAAATGGGTGAACAGTGATAGATGAACTCTGATAGATGAACTCCGATACATGAACTTTAATAGATGAACTCTGATAGATGAACTCTGATGGGTGTACTGTGAAGGGTGAGCTGTGATCGGTGAACAGTGATAGATGAATACTGATTGGTGAACAGTGATGGACAAACTCTGATGAAACAATACTAATGGGTGAACAGTGATGGGTGAATAAAGGTAGATGAACTCAAATGGGTGATCAGTGATAGATGAACTCTGAAAGATTAACTCCGATAGATGAACTTTGATACATAATCTCTGATAGGTGAACTATAAGGGGTGAATAGTTGTACATAAACTCCGATAACGGAACTGTGAAGGGTGCTCTCGAAAAATGTGAAAACACATTGTGCATTCCAGCACAAGTTGTTAAACTAAATAATAACTACTCGTATGTACTTAATTCTCTCGAAAATAAAATTATATTCCCTGCATGATTCACAAATTGTCGCTCATCGCTTTGCCTCATAGCCCCTATAGAAGAAATTATACATACTCGTATGTATATCAAGGGTCCACTAATTCAAGCCGCAGGTGTAAACATAGCCACAGAAATGAAAAAGTGAAATAAAAAGCTGGTACGGGTAGTAGTACTACATAAAACATTTACCCTGTATGTCATAAAAAATGCAATTTGAGAATTGTCGCTCTCGAAGAAGAGAATTCGCTCAGCTTAGCTTAGCTGCGCTCTTTGGTTGTTAGGGGAAGAGCGACGAGCACATTTAACGACCAGAGTCAAGTAATTTCGAAATTGTGGAAAAACAGACCAAGAAAATGTGTACTAAAATAAATACCCGCGCACGTAACAATAACAACAAACAAACAAACAGGCGCTGCAATAAAAAGAAAACAGCGTTGAAAATAATTTAAATTTGCTGCTGCGCGGCGACTGACTGAGACGGAGACTGTGACTTCGACTTCGACTGCGACGCCGACGCTAGCGCCGACGCTAGCGCCGACGCCGACCCAAAGTTACGTCCGATTCCGATCGTGGCCGACGCGTCGCGACGTAGCGGTCCGACGCGGCGTGCTTTGGCAGTTTGTTTGTAAAATTTTTGCGCTCAGTTGCTCGCGATCGCTTTTTCAATTTTCACGTACGCAGACAGACCAGCAGCCGCTGCCAGAGTCGTCCATGCTTTGGGTTTAGCTTTTTGCTTTCGAGTTTTCAAGTTTTCGATTTGTCGGGAAAATTTGAAAGGCCCACACAAGTGGTGGCCAGTGGTGTCAAGTGCCGTCCGTCGTCGTTGTTCTCGTCATTATCTACGCTATAAAAGAATAAATAATAAATACAGAAATCGACAATTGATAAATTGATATCAAAACCGTTGCTTATCAGAGCGAAAGGTAGAGAAGGAAAGTAAAACGCGTGGCTCGTCGTCTGTCATTTAGCCATTCCCGGTCGCGTGTGCCCGTCCGTCCTGCCTCAAAGGTAGAGTGTAAAAATCATTTTCCATAGCATTTTCTTCAATTATACTATAATGTGGTAGACACACACTTGCATTTCGTAATGCTCTAAAAATAAATACATGGAAATGTGCAATGAATTGGAATGAAAAGTTTTATTTTTCGAGCCCGCAGTTTGTTTGAATATAAAAGAAAAAAATACATAAGTATTTAAAAATAAATCCATGGCCTTTTATGAGTGTGTGAAATAGATTGTGTTCATAAATAACGCGTCGTTAAATAATAAAAAATAAAATTTGTGCAAATCTGGAAGAGAGCACAATTCTGCACAATGCGTTGGTTTGCGTCTTAGCTAAAAAGAGATTTGCCAAAATATATAAGATTTGACAATATAGGCTGATTTTGGACAGAACTCGTAGACGGACATAGGTTTAACATACGAGTGTGCACATACTTGTACATATATGCCCAACAATACACTTCGGATTATATAAACAGAAACAACAGTTCAGAAATGATCATAAAATTATCGACCCTAAACCTTGCATACATAGCTATAACTTTTTAAGAACAGTTTTATCAGACCAGTTTCTAAATTCCATGTTTGAAAGAGTTGGGTGAAAAACTCGAATTTTCACTTTTACTTACTATTTACTTTTTGTACCGCTAATATTTGGAGAAAACTAAAGCATGGGTCACACGTGCAAACAATTTGCATACAAATTTCAAAACTAAATCGGAATGTACTTTGTTGGAGTACAAAATTACACTGAAGTATATAATGCTCATTGGTTTTTGATGGACTTGTAAGGCAAATTATTTTCCTGTCTGATGGCTGTCGATTAAGTCAAATCAATTTTGAAAAATGTGATCGAAAAAGGAAACGGAAACAAATTAATAATATCTGAAAACTTTCATTTTCCTAGTTCATTAGTAGTTCCACACTAATTCTAATTAATTCTATGATTATTTACTTTATGACTTATGTTGATATTGCACTTCCATTTCAAATCGAAGCTAAATAAATTGTTTAATTTATTTTCGCATTCCTTGCTGATGATTTCTAATATCTATTGTGATAAATTATATGTTATCGTTAATGGTTTGTAGATTGTACTAAAAGAATTTAAAAGTCACATGTGAATTATTTAATATACAAGAGAGTAAGAGAGAGCAAAAGTTTTGTGGTTTCTATTCCTATGACCGCTGCTGTAGAAGAGCGCATTTAGTTCTGTCCCATAAATTGCCACTTCTGTTGGCTATAATCATTGTTTTTTTTGTATATAAGGTTTTCGTCTGGCTTTTTTTTTTTTGCACAATCCAAATATAAACATATATACGCGCTCTTTACAATCTTCACAGTGAGCAGCAAGCAGCGAGCAGCGAGACATGCGCATTTGGCTTCGGCCACTGGCTTTTGGCCACTCTGAATCCAATTAGCTAAGTCTTTACTAATATTTTTATAAACAGTTCTTTGCTCTCAATGTTTGAGCAAAACAGAAATACATATACATATTGTTTTCTCTGAAACACTTAAGAAGCACGCCGGTCGTTTGGTGTTTTTGTTCTCAGCCAACCACTTTACTTTGCCGTGTCCCCTCAAGCCCAGTCACCAATTTAATTGCAGTCTGCAAACTTTAAAATTTCACCAGACCCGTTGGTTATAAACAAAAAGTTTATATAGTATATCTGGTAATTAGCTGAAAAAATTACCCATAATTAGACACTGAAACTAAACTAACTCGAAACAAATTACGCATTGTCCAGAAAGACGAAAATGGGGAGTTAGAAGAGAGAGAGGGAGAGAGAGAGAGAGAGTTTCCCAAATTGTAGCTTAAGCTTAAACCAAGCAATGTGCAATTAATTTCAATTTATGCCAACCTTCCGCCCATCAAACTAAACAGCTTCAAAGCCAACTTCACGCCCTTCGACATCTCGGCCACGTCGGCCTTCAAGCCGACCAAACCGTTGGACATACGCGCCTCACAACTGCAACAGCAACAGCAGCAACAACAACAGCCACTGATATCGCCCATTACCGGCCAGCCACTGAGCAGCGTCCCGCCACCACTGTTGCTCTCCTCATCCACTCACTCGTGCACCGGCGCCGGCTTTGGCGCCTTCAAGCTTTCGCGCAGCTCCACGCAGCCGCTGCAGTCGCCGCGCGTCGTCAGCTTGGCGCAGAGCACGTCATCGATTCCGCATCTGCCGCAACCGCCGCAGCGCCAACAATCTATAAACGATAGTGCCCAGAGTCTCAGCGAACAATTGACGCTCTCCGTGGGCAACGACAGTGGACTGATCTTCCAAATGTCTGGTCTGGAGGAGGACTCGGCGCATCAGTCGCTGGGCGACGATGCCTCGACCACGCAATCGAGTGGCGTCGGCGTGGGACGCAGCAACAGCGTTCGCGCACGCGCCAACATGTTCCAGCAATTGCAGGAGCAGACCCGCAATCGCCGCGAGTCTGCCGGACTGGAGCAGTCGCCATCGAGCACAGCAGTCAACCGTCAATGTGAGTAAAAGTTGCCCCCAGGCCCATATTCTTCTGCCTCTCAACGACTCTTTGCTTTACCTCTCACCTAAGCATTGTACACACTCACACACACACACACACACACGCACACACATGCGCGTATAAATTGCGTACAAATTACCATGAAACCATAAACTGTGAGACCGCTGGCTGTTTCTCCGTGGGCCAAATGGGGTCCGTCCGACGACCCAAACGCGCCCTACGGCCACGCCAGCTCGCGATGGTTCGCTGGCTTCTGCCAATGGCAGCGATGCGTTAAGAATAATACTCGTAGCAGAAGCAACAACAACAGAAGTCTGAAACATCAGTCGTTCGGTAGTTAGAAATTTATACAGTAGCGGAAAATTAAATCTGGACATCGCTTGCATTTTTTAACGTGTGAAAGACATTACTTACAACTTATGAAATTCAGTGGTAATTGCTCTCATGTCTAGTTAGGTTTTGAAACCCGAATATGTTACGCTCTGATTGGTACAATTGCCTAACTAATTATTGAACAAAGAAATGCCTATCGAGTGACATAAAAAAGCGATTCGCAAAATCTTTCAGTCTGAAGTTGAAAGCGAAATTGTTAAATATTTTAGAAAGAGCAACGATAAAAAGTAAGCAACAGATCTGATTTCTACTGCTTAAATCTGTCTCATAAATAATTGACGCTATAAAAAGCACAATATGTATACTGCTTGTAAATTTGAAAGAATTTCATGCAGGAATAACTCAAGTTCTTAAGGGTAAATTCAATTATAAAGCTAAACATTTAAGTATTTAAAATATAAAGGCGTTATACTTAATTTAAAAGAAGAATCTGACGCATAAATATCTGACGATTTAGAGAGCTCCATTATAATAAAATATAGCAGTTATACCTAACTTTAAAAAAGAATCTGACGCATAAATGACAGATGTTTTTAACTCATCATCTTACATTTCACAAGGTTATACTCTATTTAATTAAGTAAGTAACTAAAACTGATTCGCGGTCAAGTGAAAACATAAAGATGTTGCCCATTTAAAGCAATCACTTATTAGTCCACTTACGTATGACCGCTACTGTAACCCTCCAGAGTTTATCGAGCTTTGATGACAGCCTCTGCTGTCGGCGATGAACGGGCCTGGCCAGCTCAAAACTGCTCTGGACGACACTTTTTGCGGGCTTTGGCAATTGTTGTTGAAGTTATTGTGATCGTTATAGGTACATGTGTGTGTGTGTGTGTGAGTGTATGTGTGTGGTGGTATATTGTGTACATAGCCACAGTTGTTGCCCGAGTTAATAAGCTGTAAAATGTGTGTCATTTGGCTCACTCATTTGGCCACATTCGGCACTTGGCCGATTGCCGTCATCGTTGAGTTGGGCAAGCAGCTCATTGAGCATTATGGCAAAGATTATGGTTGTTGCCATAAACTACACTTCATGTCAAATCTTATCAAACCCCTATTAGCTATCTGTTATCAGCTCTTGTAATTATGTCATCCAGTCAACTAGTTCACTTACGTCAAAAAGAAAAGAATATTAAACCTATACATACTTAAAAAATAGAAACCAAAAAAAAACTTAAGGGTTGAGCTCTCAAAATGAAGGCAGTTGACCAGCTTCGCATAAATTTTCCGTTTGGTCCACATGGTCGTATGTAAAGCTCTAATTGTAAAACAATAAAAAAAAACATTTATAAATGTTATTCCATATTTTTTTTACAATCCACAGCAACCCCACGTCATTCGCCACCACCGTTAACAGCAAAGTCCACGCCCTCCGCCTCCGTTTCCACGCACGATGTAGAGCTGCGCACACCGAACACAACACGGGATGCTGACGAAGAGTTCGGTAAGTGTGACCATAATGTGCAGAACAGAAAAATAATTCTGCTAAGCTTACAGCGCAAGAGCTTAAATGAGAGCTCAACATTTTGCATGGCACACTCTCTTTCCCTCTCTCTTGCGCTGTTGCTGGTCATTAATTTTTTTGCATTTTATTTTGTTCTTTTGTTTTTATGTTGCGCGCTCTACAAATGCACGACTTACACTTGGAATGCAAACATACATACATACATATACATATAAATAAATACATATGAATCTTTGTTGTTATTTTATACTCGTTATTGTTGCTGTTGTTGTTGTGCGTGCGTGTTTTTAAATAATTTATACACATTTATCTAATTATTTATTGCCGTTGCTCATCATTTTGCTGCTAACCACAACAAGACTAATTGAATAATTAAACCGACATACGCGTGCATAGTACATACATACATACATTTTTGCATTGGCATAGAAAAACTTGCCACGATTGCGAAATAATTGAAAAATCAAAAATCATGTAATAAATCAAAATTAAAGCCACGTTCAATTAACCAATAAACGAACAATCGCGCGAAGGAAAATCCAATGAAAATGCAGACACGTTCAATTGCGCAATGCGCCGCCTTTCCATCAAAATGTGCAGACAGAAGCCACAAAAATTCATACACACACATACATACATATTTCTATAAACACTGGCCAGCAGTTGATTTCTTATGAGTACACAGATTATGTTTCAATGCTGATTCGCAAATTACTGGAAAATGCTAATTACGGAACTGAATCCGATTCTGCGACATTACTTCCAGGTTAAGATTATAAAGTATTTGTTCAGTAATTTGTGATAGCATACTGTATTTTTATCGGAACCTTTTAAGAGACCAAAAGAGATTAGAAGAGAAATGTGAAAATAGAATACGAACTGTTCTTTTAATAGTTCAATTCTACAATAGATTATATACTTTTTATAAGAATGCTTAGATCAGTTGCGACTTGAAGACTTGAAGACTTTTGGCAATATTAATGACAGGAAAAAATTCTTTTTTTCATTCATATGTACAACATATCGTAAAACAAGAAATGAAGTTGTTAGTCTTAGAATCTCAATGAAGAGCCATAAATTATAGTTTGATTCAATTTTAGTCTCCAATTTAGAATATATCCACGAAACTATTTCATATTGATTTAAATTTTAAATCATCGATGTGTTATAATTTCACTTTTCCACTTTTCACTTACAAATAATCAAGCCTAATTAGGTTAACGAATTATCGATGTTCATTAAGTTCGAAAAGTGCTTTGCAACATTCTAGGGTTTTTTAACTTGCTCAACAGTGTTTTCATTAACTGTATTAATTTTTTTTTTTTTGTAATTATTGAATGAATTCTATTAACTATATGTTGTTGTTGCTGCATGTTGCCTGCTCCGAAAAAACTAACAACAATTTCTTTTTACAAGTGTTTTATGTAATTTATATTGAAGCATACTATACATTTAAGTATGTTGTATATTTTTTTTACCGCGTTAGTTGATTTAACGCCATATTTGCATTTTCATTCAGTCCTCTTAGTCGATTTAATTAGGCGTTCATAATTTAATGCCATTTTTTTCATTTTTCCCCCCATATTGAGTTTTAAAAACCATTAACAAGCGCATGTTTTCCTCTGTATGTTTCCCTCTGAGTTTGGCGTTTGATTTTCAATTTCGTTCAAGTTTACTTTGCTGACATACTACTCTCCATGTTCAATATCTTGTTATTATCAATTACGACCATGTTTATGGTCCGCGGTCTGTGCAGCCCGTGGCGTTGGCAGTGCGGGGGCGTGTTTTTATGGCCTCTTTTCGTTGGGTTCTGGGCGCGATTGGCAGAAATGCAGGTGAGAGTGCCATAAAAAGCTGGTTAGAGAGATAAGGAGAGTGCATTGCTAGCGACGATAATAATAGCCCTGTGGCGTTGCCAATTAGCATGTTGTTGTTGTTGTTGGCCAGAAACGTCATCGCGTCATCGCGCCGTGGCCGTAGCTCACAATTGCATTGGCAATGAGGCGACGAAGCCAATTAAAAGGGGTGCCACTGCGAAGCTAATAATTTCAAACAATCATATCGAGAGTGAATAAAATGTGTTTTTTATGACTATATAGTAAGGTTTAAAGAAAATTAACTGCAAAAACGCGGGGCTCTAATAAATCTGAACACAATCTTATATACGTCCAAGATGAGAAGAGTAACTGAGTGGACTGATAAGTAATAAAAAATGTATTTAACAAATCAAAAGTATACATACTTCCAAGATTCCAAGAGTAACTTAGTGGATCGACAAGTAACAAAATATTCATTCTATAAACCAAAAGGTTTTAAGAATAACTTAAGTTACTGATAGTGGGAACACAACAGTTAACGACGGCTAATTGGTATTCGAGAGGAATATAAAACTCATACGAGGTTAAGAAAAAATGTATACATATAGTGCCAGTAGTGATCCAATTCCTTCTAGTCTGTGAACTAGTAATGAGTTATAATGACAATTATAATTCAGATGATAGAAGCAGCTTTTAAAACTGTTGAAGAAAAGCTGTTAAGATGTTCATGAACTTTAGTCCAGAAGTTCGACACAGTTATTAATTTTACAACATTTTTCATGAGTTTGGAGAAACTTTAAAAGCTATCGATTTGAGAAAAATAGGGAGAGGGCTTTAAACCATTAATACATTTTTTAATAAACAAACATTTACAAGTAGGTATGTTTTAACTGCCTTTTGAAATGTTTTTAATATTGTCTAGTTTAGTTTTACTTTTCTAAAAGAAAACAGGTATCTATGTTGTTTGATTATATAGGAGAGACGTGTTCTCTACTTTTAATTATTTATTTATTTATTAGATGCTCCTATGCGATGTTAAATAAACATACAAACAGTAAGAAAACTATAGCTCCGAGGCCTTAAGCCAAGTTACATATCTAAGTACAGCTAAAATTAGTTTAATAAGGCATAATACTGGATAACAATAACAGGCTTTAATATAGAATAGTTTTATATGATATATATTAGATTCTTTCAAAAGAGTAAAAAGTTCTATTTATCAGGGTTGGTGAGGGCGGAAGTGGGGTTAATGTTAAGGAAGTATTTTTCATGTAGGGAGCTCAGACTTGGGCATCAAGTGAGGAGATGTAGAATTGTTAGCCTGAAAAAAAATAAAGAAGAACAGATTTCGGTAACAACCAAGATTCTTCTCCGCTTTTTGCAGTTGACAAAATATTAACATTACAAAAAAAACAGAGACCGTTTAGCAGAACTCTTCATTTGGTTATTATTCCATTTCGCGTAACTTTCCAACGCCACAATAGAAGTGAGAAAGTCAATGATGTATGGGCGGCTCATCATATGCTCGTAAATAATAAACTGTATAATTATTTTCAGATGATTTAATAGTCATCTTTTAAAACGACTGCCGACTCATATACGAACAATACTTGTATAAGCTTATCGCTCAGTGGTCTTCCTCTTGCCTCCAAGCGTCCACTACTTAGTTCTGAAAGTCTCGATACAAAAGTTCATATCAATTGACTGCCCAACTGACCGCACTGGCCACAGCGAGCTGTGGACAGACAGACCGATCCGACCCCCGACGACTCGACCATTGTGGGGAAAGAAAATCGAAAGCTCGCATGAAAATGAAAAGCAGGCAGTCACTCGAGGAGAAGCGTGTGACGAGCTGCCTATTGAGAATCGGCGAGCAACAAAAGGGCAAATTGGTTTATAAGCGCATCGTCAACTTTCTTTGGCAAAGAAAGCGACGACGTCGACCGCGGCTGAACAATTGTGCGCAAAGTCGTAACAATAGAACGGTCCCAGAGACGACGACGACGACCCACGGGCAGGCCAAGTAGCCGCCAGTTGACAATTAGACGGCCAGTTTGTCGATGGGTGGCCGCGTGCACGGATCGATTGGAGCTGAGAAATTGGAAAACAGTGTAAACCGTTTAGGAAAATCTACGAAAGCGTGCACAGTCGTCAATTAAATGAGAAGTGGAGCGAAATATTCTAGATAACCATTTAAGTGTTGCAAGACGTTAGAAAATCAGTTGATAAAATAGACCGGAAATTTTCTAAAGTTTTGTTTTTTAAATAGTGCAACAAATTTATTTTTGAATTAATTTTCCAAAGCATTGTTTTCGCTTGAGATTCTAGAACATAATTGTGTATCCAGAATATTGAAGTCATGACGGGAAATCGAAGTATTATAGCGGTGCTGTCGCCCTTTTTAAGATTAAAGATTGAAATTGCAGTAGACTTTGAGAATATACTTGTATTTTTTATTTTTATCTCAATTCTAAAAGAATTAATTTTTCGATAGAGTCTTGGAAGGTTCCAAAGAAAAAATCTGAAAATTCTGTAACTGCAACTCAGTTTATAGATTATTTTATTATAAAAATGCATTTTAATTCTTTCGATAGTTTTAAATATACACTTTTTAGATAGATCTTAGATATGTTGGAGTTTCTTGTAACATTTTTAAAACTTCTTCATAACTGCTAACATTTTCTCTTTTCTTCTTCCATTGAAATGATAATGTAATAGGTCAAGTTATAGTCATATAATAAATATAGAACTATGCAGGGCCCCTTTCTGGATCAAACTAGTTTCAAAACGAGCACTCAAGTTGCAATAAATCCTGAGAGCTTGTTAATCTAAGGTTCTTGTGAAATCAATTCTTACATAAAAACACTTTTAAGAACAAAAGGGTACAAGTGTACAAAACATTACAATAATAGAGTCAATGAGAGATAAGATTAAAAGAGCAAAACAAACAGAAAAAGATCATTGTATTATGGTGGCTTGAAAATAAGACTAGAATTACATGTTAAATATAGAAGTAATAAAGTTGGCTATAGATTTATACTAAAAGTGACAGGGTAATGGGGACTGGCAGAGATCGAAAGATATACAGTCGAGTATATGATGGGAAATCTAAAATAGCGCTGTCGATTAAGATTCGCTAAGTAGCTCCGAAGTAACTCAAAGTTTTCGTCTCGAAAATCAATTCACAGATTCAAATAATGGGAGAAATTTCAAGTCTTAATACATTTTCAATTAGAATAATATTATTGGGCCGAGTTTGCAAACGAGACTTTGATGATTAATTAAAAATTTAAAACTGAAGCATTTTACTAACTAGCTGAGGATAAAATATCTATAATAAGCGGCTTTACTGTTTAGCGATTTCTCTGCTGTAAATGGGAAAACGTATTGGTGTGAGTGTGCAACGAAATTAGAGGAAAAGCCTATCTCGCCGCAATACACAAGCAACAATGGTGGCAACAACAATAATCTCAACAATAATAACAATGATAATAATGTAAAATATAATTTTTGAGCGTGAAGAAAACACGAATGATGCAACAAAAACAAATTCTATAAGTGCCACCAAGTTATCGGTACTTGCAACAACAACAACAACAACAATAGCAACAACGATAAAAGAAGAGTATAAAGTGCAAAGAGTGTAGTCGTGTATTTGAAGAACAATAAAGAGCAAAAAAAAGGATGCGTGAGTTTGTGGTGTTTTGTGGAGGAGATGCTCGTCCTTTGATTTAACATTCCAACATACTTTGCAGAACCCTCATCGCTCTCGCTGGCCGATCGTCTGGCCTTCTTCAGCAGCCTGTGCGAGGGCGGCGGCGGCGGCGGAGGGTCCGGGAGCAGCGCCGGCCGCCTGCGCAGCCGCACGAGCAGCTACACGCGCAGTCCGCCCTACTCCTCCATCGAGCGCTGCAGCAGCGTCAACTCGTATAATTCGCACAACTCGTGCAATGGCATCGGCGGCGCCATTCCCACCACTCCCCGGAGCAGCACTACGACGAGCAGTGCCAGTGTCACGCCCACGCCCATGCCCATGGAATGCTCGCCCATACTGCACGAGGTGTGCGAGCAGTCGGAGAGCACGCTGGAGACGGCAACGCCGCTCCAGTCGGAGGCAGGCGTGTGCGTCTCCCCTTCGGCCTCCATGCAAACGCTCAGCAATGGCGGCGGCTACCATGAGCTGAAGCGCTCAGCCACAGCCCCCATAGGAAACCACATGGACATTGGGCAGCCAGCAGCGCCAGAGAAGGCGGCTGTGGACGGAGTCGGGGCGCCCACCGTACGACGCATTCGTTTGCGCACAGTGGGCAAGCTGGTGCTGCCGCAGACATTCCTCAGCGATCGCAACAACAATGTGAACAATCAGAGCTGTGCGGCGCGCCTCCAGACGCTGGAGGATCTGCAGGTGACGCTGGGCTCGCGCAAAATTGGCAAAATCAAGTCGCCGTTCATCGAACAGCAGCAGCATCATCATCAGCAGCAGCAGCAGCACTCCACGCCCACTGAGTTGTGCAGCAAGTCGCCCAAATTCGACTACAAGTCGACGCCGCACAGCTATGGAGTGAGCAGTGCGTCCAAGATGCACAGCAGTGCCAGCGACAGCAGCGATGACACGAATGCCTCCGACTCCGGCAAAGAGAACTGTGCGGCCAATCAGCAGCAGCATCAGCAACAACAGCCGCCGGAGAGCACAAATGGCGGAGGCGGTGGAGTACTGGAGATGCGCCGCAAGCTGACGCGCTTGGTGAATGGCGTTGGAGGTGGCAGTGGAGGTGGAGGTGGAGGTGGAGGCAGTGGCCAGCAGCAAACCAAATCAGTGCCCATTCAAAGACGACACACCACAGAGATCAGCAACAGCAGCCTAACAAGTGCTGCCAACACCAACAACAACAATAGGCGGCCCAACTCGTTTGTGGATCAGCGATTTGCCAAATATTTTGGACTGAAGGAGACCTTCGAGACGACAACCACTTGTGTGCCGCTGGCCAAAACCCAGTCGGCACCGCCACAACCACAGTCGCTGCCATCCGAGGCCCGCAACGCTCATGTGCGTCTGCCCGCCAACGGCGAGACCAACAATCTCGTGCAGAAGCGTCGAGAGCTGCTGAAGCGCACACGCACCATGACCCTGGAAATATCGGGACTGTCAGCGGGTCCTTGTCCGTCCAGTCCCACATCGATGCCCAGTGCCAAGCGGGCGCATTCGCCGGCCGCGAAAACAACGATGCGCAAAACGCTCATCTCCTGCTTTGAGGATATTGTGATCACGCAGGAGGATCTGCACAAGGTGGGGCATGAGTTCAGGCAGCTGGATGTGACGCCCAAGGAATTGTATACGGCTGGCCAGGACTTCAAGCGACTCTTTGGCGAAATACTGCAAGAAACTGTTGCTTAGAATGGCCAAGGGAATGAACGCTTGCCACAGCCGCCACAACCATCGTCTTCCCTTTGAAAAATTGTACATTTTGGCTCAAATTTCAAAATTTCACAAATTTTTCGACATCGTCTTCAAAATATATACATAATTGGCTAATTCTGGTGCGGCTTGGCAACAAAAAGCATTAAAAATAAACTATAAATGAAGAGAGAGGCGCCTCTCTGCTGCTCTCTTAAAGTTTCTCTCTTTGCTCTTAGGTCAGCCCGTCAGCTGTTTGTTTAGTGCATCCCTGAGTTGTGCTCATTGTGATAGATGCGTCTCTATTCCCTATCTCCCTCGCTCGCGCTCCCTCTCTCTCTCTCTCTCGCTAGCACAGAGCGCTTTTAAGCTGACCCCTTAGTTAGTCGCCAAAACGAAACGAACTTAAAAACGAAATGAATTCAAAATATTTAGATTGGAAAGTAAACAAGCATTGTAATTTAAAAAAAGAACAACAACAAACATTTAAACCATATATTTATGTTAAAGAACAACGCGTGTATTCCATGGTTAAAGCAGGCCAGCAAACTTCCAGTTCAAGTTAACGAATTAATTATGCATTTTGCAAAGCCTTTTATTTTATTATCAACACAGGCACAGGCACATGCATATGCGTATGTGTGTGCGTGTGTTGTAAACGAATTGTACCTTAAACGGCATTATTATTATTATTATTATTACAGTTATTATTATTATTATAATTATTGTAATATTTAAATATACATACATATATATACATACATGCAAATTGTTAAAAACATAAATCAATAAAATAACTTGTGCTAAACACTCGTGTACTTTCCTCGACGAAGTGCTTTGTGGAAGCCTCTCTCTGCACTTCTCAAATATTAGGGTGTGCCAAAAAAAACCAACAGCAATGTGGTTCAAGATTTTAGAAAATTATATGTTTTTTCTTTTTAAATTTAGAGAACAATTCTTTTACGAATATATTATTTACTATTGAAATCTCAAGTTTTGGTACTTTTCAGCCTCTCTCGACACTTCGTAAATATTAGAATTATATTATGGAACAAACAATATATTATTTCATAATAGGGTAACAATTCGATTACAAACATACTATAGATTTATTTTCATTAAAAACCTCAAGTTCAGGTACATTGTGAACACATTTAGCCGTTCTCGGCACCCCTCAAATATTAGACTGTGCCAGAAAACAGCAAGATTGTTCAAGATTTTGGAAAAGATGGGGCTAGGGAAAGTGAAAAGTGAGTTTTTCCTTTGTTTATGGGGCACTATTCTGTGACGAACATAATTTCAGGTATACCTTTAATATTTATACCATTTCATAAATATTTACTCAAATGCAATTATCTGCGTGTCCAGAATACCCCTTCGTTTCTAGTTGACGATGGGCATTCGAATATGTATCATTTGTTTCGCAAAATCTTTTCTGGATCACTTCTTAAGAAAGTGTATTTATTTAAATATATTATAAATATGTTTCGCCGATTTATACTTTGAAGTCTGCTGAGTGAAGAACTTTTGGAAGAACTTTAACTCTAAAATGATTGCAGCTCTCAGCTTCTAGATCTTGAAAGGCATAAGCTAAGCCAATGGCATATTTTGGTAGACTTCAGGCTTACTTGTATATAGGTTTGTCGAAAATATTCACACATGCGAGCATCTAAGTAAGTAGCCGGCAAGTGAATACAAAGGAACGCTTTAAGAGCTATAGGACTTTATAACAGCATGTCTTATATATATATCTGAGTAAGTAAACTTTTCTAATTTTCTGCAGCGCTGCTGCCTCTCTCTGCGCTTCTCAAAAACACTTTTGAAAGCATGTTGCATGTAAATATTGCTGCTTGATATCATTTTTCTTTAATTTTCTCATCATTTAATTTCAATTTTTCTTCTGCCACACTACCTCCTGCTTATCGTATATAGACACGGCCAATCCCTAATTGTACTTCCAACTTTTTTGTACAGGCAAATCGGAGCCTCTTAAGGGCATACTGAAGTCGAAGACAGCTCTGGGCATGGGTCGTGGTCTCATGCCCATCGATCTCAATGCGGAGCTCAAGAATCGCCTGAAACGTTCCACGCATGCAACGGTCTCGAATCTACGGAAGTCGGCCACCACCGCAGATGCCACCCAAGGCGCAGACGAAACGGATAACGCCACCGCGTCCCAAAGGAACTTGGCACAAATCCTGCGCAATGTGTCTAAGGAGAATGCCACGCCCCAGGCGCCCAAACACGACGATGCCGTCAGCTTGGTGCGCAATCTGTCGAGTCTTGGGCAGCCTCGTCAGCCCGCCGCCGGCGCTGATGAAGCTGCGGGCAACTGTGCGTCCGCCTCCGAGGGCGAAAGCTCGGGCGGGCGCGAAATCGAGGCCATTATCAAGAACAGCGCCGTGGCACGCCGGCGACGTCAGCAGCAGCAGCAGCAGCAGCCGCAGCCGCAGTCTCAGACGCAGTCGCAGCAGCCACCAGATGGGTGAGTTCCGCATCCATGTTGCCTACGCCGCCCACTTCCCGCCGCCAATTCCTCGTGTGCTGCATTAACCCTCAAGATACTAACCAGAGCCTGTGAGCGTGTAGAGTTTTTCTTGCTCGCCACCCATCGTGCAGTATCATGGATATTTCAGAGAACACTTACTCGTATATAGACAGCATCGTTAATGCATTATAATACATACTCGTACATGTGTGTGTGCTCCACAAGACTGGTTAAAAAAAAAAAAAAAAAAATAATGAATAATTTAACAAACAAAAAGATGTGAAATGAAATATTTATCGTTTACACTTAAGCAACATTTGCAATTATAACATACTAAGTATATACACGAAGAGAAATCGGTTATTCGAAAATCAAATACAACTATATTTCAAAGTAATTCGACAAATATTTACACACACAAGCAACGTATTTTAAAGCCTAATTGGGTTTCATGTTTGCTGTAATTTTAATCCCAACAAACAAACATTTAAATGTACTTGCATTTTCTAGCTCTTGAATTGAATTCTCTCAATACATATGGTACTTACTATATACATATGTGAATGTCTAATTGTTGGCACTACATTCTGTGTTCATATTTCGCCATCAATAATATGCAATAAATATTATGATAAGGAATAAATTATTTACAATTCTTCAATTCACAATTGCAACAAACGAACAAACACATTTGGCTAAAACAGTTTGCTTGCAAAAGCGAAGCCCTTGGCTAGAAGCAATTATTGCCCAAATGTACAACAGCAGAAGCAGCAGCAGCAGCAGCAGCAGCAACAACAAAAGCAACAACAACTGCAGCAGCAACTACCGAAGCAGCCATTTAGTCTGAAGCAGCTACAACAACAACTAAAAGAGCAACATATTGTGCAGCTGCAGCAACAAGCAAAGCCTTTTAAAAGTTTTGCGTACGAAAAAGTTCAATTTAACTGACAGATAGAACCCAATGCATAGCAATTAAGTTAATTTGCATTGCTTATTACCTTCGCAGGCAAATGAATTGCGCATACATACACTACATATATATATATATACATATATTTTTTTATTAACATTTGTTTAAATTATGTCACATGTGTATATTTTTACGAAAAATGCAAAAAGCTGAAACAAAACATTGAAACAACAAAATAAAGCTGACAACAACAAAAATTGCAATGTAGTTTTGTTAGCGCCGCTTGCCACTAACCGTCATATTGTGTACTAATTTTATTTTATGGCTAACACAATTAAACTGCATGACGTTAACGCACATATTTGATTTGAATTCGCGCGCAGCTGGGCTGACGTGCTAAGTTGGCAGCTCTATGGTTGGCAACGCGAGAGCGATAGGTGGGCAGCTCCAATGCGAGTGCTGCCATATTAGAGGTGGAATGCATTTACAGCTGGCGCCACTCGATATATTTTAATACGTTGATGCTCTACTATCGGATTTGAATGTTGTGCTGAAAAGCAGAGTAACTGAATTGGTCTTGTCAATGGAAGATCTGTTTCTTGAAATAATTGTAGAGCTTACTCTTGAGTAAGCTTATGCCGAAAACCAGCACAACTCGTTTCTTCTATAATTTTGAATATTTGTCATATTTTCCGTTTTATTTGTTTGTTTTGCAAATTGAATAAATGTGCTTACTGTTTTGATATTAAGCTATTCTAATCGGAGCAGACAAGTTGGGGAACGTTAAATTTAACTTCTTTATATTTTTTGGAATTTTTGAATTTACGGTGAGATAAGATAAATTTGTCGAACTTATATGCATATGTCGTGAATATCAAGGTATTAATTATTTGAATCAAGCCTACTGTAAAATAACACAAATTTGTGTGCAAAATATTTGCTGACAATTTACATTACAATTTCAAATAAAGCCGATTTAATTTGTTAGCATTTTCAAAATAGGTAGATTTTTTTGTGTTTAAGCATTTATTGATTAAAATTATGAGTTGATAAGAACTGCATGCCTTAACTCTACAAATGACGTCAGAAAGTGGCTGCAGTATTTGTAGCCATCAAGAACTAAGTTGCTGGGGTACTAAGTCCACAATAGTTCATTATTAATCGCTTATATTTACAATAATTGCTAATTGCTCATTTCTGAGCTAAAAAGGGTAGTAAAAGTTTGTATAACTAAAATTTCAAAAGTTCATAAAAGCATATTCTTTGTTGTTAAATTTCACACATTGTGTTAACCAAACCCTTCATGCGAAACGGTTGCGCTTTTTTAAAAAAAAGTATCGATAGCGGCTTGCGAACTGTGCCAAGTCATCGATATGCCACTGCGGCCAGCGTATCCCACCACCATGGCGTACCATCAGTCGAATTGCATTCGCCGACGTGTAAGGTTGTGTTGCGGTTGTTCGCATTTTCGCTGGTGCGTGTGTTTGTGTCTCGAGTCGTCGTAGTTTATTGTTGGTGTGAGACGCGCGCGCATTTTGTTTTATTTCATTGCACGCCTTTGCAAAAGCAGATTGCATTAAGCTAATTATTATCTGAAGTTAATACGAGCTGCTAGTTATTCGAGTGCGTGTGTGTGTCAATACTTTTAATGCGCCACCCGATTTTTCAATAACAGCAGCAACAACAACAACAAACAAGAGCGTGCAATTGTTTCCTTGAATTGAATGCGCCGGCAACCATAAAAACAACAACAACAAACAGCTGCGGCAGCTGCATATGCATGTGAGAAGGTGGTGTGTGCGTGTGTGTGTGTATGTGTGCGCGTAAATTCTTATTTAATGCAAAATTCTTTAAATTGTTCGATAATTGCAAGAACTTGCATTTCGCATATCGGCATTGTGCTTAAGCTTTAAACAAAAGGTTAGTACCGAATAATTAGCTCTACTTTATTAAATAAAGAGACGCGACATAAGAGTTCCGCACAGGTAGACAAATATCTGTTCACACGATGGTGAAGCATGTCTGCGTCTTCCAACCCTTGCCTGCCCTTTCCCATTGCCGTCCGCCTACCTGTCTGCCCCTCCTCTTGCTCTGCTTCTTGTTCGCTGCACAAATTCGGCGACAGCACCAACAACAACAACAACATCTAATAAAACGACGTACGATCAAAAAAAAAAACCCAAAACAAATCGCCGCTGAGTCGAGTCTCCATTGAACAATTTGCTGAATCAGCGTAAAGCAAAAGCGGCGATTTCCGATTTGTTTACCCTTTAGCCAGATGCTTGTAACGCTTAGATAGCTGCCAAGAATTTAAACTTGATCCGTAGTTTATTATTGGTTGGGAGTGGGGAGTCAAGCGAAAG